AATTATCCGACTGAGGAACGAATACTTACGGGAAAGTGCCTTCCGCACGAGCGACGCAAAAGCTCCAAAACCCTATCCGTTTGCAAAAATGAATTATCCGACTGAGGAACGAATACTTACGGGAAAGTGCCTTCTGCACGAGCGACGCAAAAACTCCGATGCCGATAACGTATATTATTGTAAAAGACTGCATCCGCAAGCCGCAGTTTCTCCACAAAGGTCGGCCGTCTCAGCGACAAAAGCTCAGAAAATGGTTCGCCATCTCTGAGCTCGAGTCGGATTCCTGCACATTCGAATCATCATTATCATTTGATTCTTCTTGCCAAAAGTGAACCTGGCCCATGACGGCGCAAAGCACTGCCACAAAGGCACAAGTCGCAAATCCATTTCCTGCAAGGTCGGCTTTTTGCCTTTCACTGAGCGATTCAAAAAGGTAAGGCGGAATCCCCTGCAACTTCAGCATCTCGGTCCCAATCAGGCACCTTTGGAGCCGTTTGCACCACACTCGAGCTCCAGGAAGGATAGTGAAGATGCGGTTTGGCTCCTTTGTAGTCTTCAGCCGGGACATTGACTGGCTCAGGTCGATGAACCTGGAGTTGGCACATTACTGGACAATAAAGGTCAATACAGGCAACCTGACACCCCCCAAGAGAAGGAGAGAGGGTTTGGCCACCAATTGTGGCCAATGTCTTGTTTAGAAGGACACAGGGCTTGCAAGGGTGGGCAGGGCAGAGGACAGCAACCCGGACACAAAAAAGCGGCCAGGGACTGTGGCCAGTATCCCTTTTTTACGCAGAGTGAATCCCAACAGTGAACTGTTGAACCTCCGGCGAACCCCAAACCCCAATCCCGCTGCCCCAAAAATTGCAGCTTCAGGAACTCGAAGAAATCATCGTAGAGCAAAAGCAACTCCTGCTCTCGCTGTGTGAGCGTGTGAAACCATGCGTTCTTGACGAACTTGTCCGTGATCGAGAAAGGCCACACCACACCACGCTCAGCAGCCGCTTCTTTGTGCTCGGATATCCATTTGGCCTTTGTATCAGTCGGGTCTCGGTCTCTCTCTCTGCCCTTCGTGTATTCCACACGCCGGGCAAGCTCAGCTTTCACAAGCTCACTGTTGTTGTCCTCGAAGAAGTGGCTGGCGGGCAACTTTGGCAACTTAAACGTGGTCATCCTCAGTTGCGTGTAACACCAGAAACCCAAATGCCGCAATGCCAACAAGTTATGAACAAGCACAGAACTCAGAAAAGGCTATTCACATAAAGCACAGTCCGGTACAAAAAACGATGACGGCACCACTCAGGACAGACGAAGCGTCAAGCAAGTGGCAATGGCCTCCATGCTTGACTCAGCATCCAGAAAGGCACGGTTGCTCCTTTCCAAGCCGACTATGTACACACGCTTCCTCGTCTGAGGCAACGAGTACATGTGGCTATCGATGCGGAAGGGCTGGATCATGAACGAACCGTTTGCGCACTCCTGTAGCATCTGCACTGCCACAGCAAGATTGCTGCCTTCATCAAGTTCATCTCCCATGGACACCACATTCTCCAAAATGAAGAAATCAAGCCGTGACTTGGAACTCAAACTCTCCACAGCCTCCAGGCAAGCCTGAAACGTTCGGACCGAGCTGGATTCCTTCCAAGTTCCATCACGCAAAGCATTCCTGACCAATCGGAAGTCTGAGGCGGCACGAAAACTGGCCACAAAACATGTCGCGTTTGGTTCTCCAAAACTGTCTAGCTTTATCAGCTGGAAACCAAACAGATTGGGTAGAGGAAAGGCACAGACAATACGGGTTCTTTTGAAATAGGCAAATGGACATCCAGAAATCCAAACAAGCATCTTGATTTTCTTGTAGTTGATGTTTGCCATGCTGAAACCTTTGCATGAAAATCCAGCGGTGAAGCCGTACAAGAGCTTTTTGGAACCGTCGGGAGACTGGATTCTTGAGTAGTTGCTGAGCATACCACATGTCGTGGACTCACTGTTTGTGCTCTGGCGCCGGTGGCACTTGCCTTCACCATTCGACAATGCAACTGCATCATCAAACACGCAAGTGTCACTCCCAGTTTTCACGATCTTGTTCAGCAAATTGTCTCTCTTGAACTTGACATTTTCAGCCATGAACGGACAGACCATGTCGATGTCCTGGCAAAAAACAGCGGAAAATGCATTTGCCACTGCCTGTCCGCATATCTCTGCAGCACCTGTTCCAGTGCACATGGACGACATTACCAGCTTTGCTGGCAGAGTAGTCAAGCTGCCCCAGCAGCAAGCGTCATCGACTTTCAATCCGGCTTGCTTTGCATCAAAGTGCCATTTGAGGACTTTTGCAAAATGCTCAGCGACATGTTCGGGGTAATTGTCAATGTCCAGTCGCGCTTCTTCTCCAGGAAGGTATACATACCTCTAGACTGACATGTTTGGGGCACAGGACTCAGAAGATATACGGTTACGCGCTTTACAATTTACAATATGGCTTGCAATACTGTGGCCAACCCTTCAAGTGCACTTTGCCCCAAAAGATTGGCAATTACGCATTGCGTTCAAAAAGTATTTGGCTACAGACTGAATGGGACACAAAGTCAAAAGTTAAAAAGTTCGGGAAGCAGGGCGCTTGAGGAAGTCGCATGCTTCTGGACGTGGACCACGAGGAGTTTGCACGCTTCCAGACGCAGCGGACACTTTGCCCTCTCCATAGTAAAGTGCCATGAGGCCTTCAACACCTAAGCGCAAATCCAATCTTTAATATGGCCCTGCTCACCCGACCGGATGGGCGGTAGCACATGTATGGACTACAGGCGTGATTCCGAGATTCCAGATCACCATTTAGTTTAGTCACAGTCATTTAGTAACATATGGACCTTGGGAACTTCAAGCACCTGCACAAATTCCCCAATTTGATTTCTGGCAAATGTTTGATGAACTGGCTTGGTCATGGTCACTCAAATGAATGCCGAGAAACTTGCTGCGCCGGCAGAGGAAGAGTCCTCATCCACGTCCATGTCCTCCCCAATGCCATGGATGGGCCCCACTGCTGCAACTGCTGCTCTTTGTTGGTTGCTTTCCAATTCTGCTGGAGTGTCACGCTCATGCTTTGTTTCCTCTGGAGCTGCTACTTCCGGTTGCTGCGCAGGCTTTGCCGCTCCTGCTGTGTCATGCTCATGCTCATGCTTCGCTTCCTCTTCTGCC